GGACTTTTCTGACTCCCAGCTCCCCTCCCGGCTGCCCTTTCCACTCGGTCGCGGGGCCGGCCGCTCCTCCGGCCCCAGGATGCAGAATGTGATTAATACGGTGAAGGGAAAGGCACTGGAAGTGGCTGAGTACCTGACCCCGGTCCTCAAGGTAAGCCGGGCTTGTGAGGGCTGTCAGGCACACGCTCGGCTCTGCAGGACCGATGACCGGGGGTCTGTGGGTGTCACCGTGTTCTTTGGTGGGGAAGGTGTAGGGAGGTGGTGAGGGTGGTACACAGGGAAGGGTGCAGCCCCCGTCCGAGGTGTTATCTAGCTGTTCTCTAGGGCTTTCCAGCTCTTCGGTAAACTTGGAGGGACGCTCTGTGCGTACTCCTGTCTCCACCCGTTGCAACTCAGCTAGTCTGGGTTCATCGGGTTGGAAGGTGGTCCGCAGCTAAGTTAAATCCTAACATTGAAAGTCTTTGGAACTTTTAAAATAAGGATTTTGTTTACCTTAAAAAACGAAGTCAGTATTTGGCACTAAAAGACATGCCACTTTCAAATTTCATAGTAAGTCTCTTGTAATTAGGAGTTTGAAATAGAAAGTTGTGACTGAGGTCTCAATTTAGATTTCAGAGGAACAAGGTGAAATTTGCAACATTGCTTCTCTCAGTACCGTTGAACCCAGCGAATAGGCAAAACATCCATTTCCCAAGGTTTTAGAATAGCTGAAGCTAGTTGTTCATCTTGGACATCAATGATAATAAGGAGCAGCTTAACTTTCCTAGATAATGTTATTTTTACATTGGCAATAACAGCATTTTTAAAGTAAAAATTGCGACACATTAGCTAAATATAGCAGTGACTGATTTTTTTTTCAAAGATAAATTTCTAGAAGTGCATTTCAAGTTATTCATTTATAAGTCTTTTAGGGTAAGTTTTTTTTTTAATTGAATTACTGTTAGTTACAATGTGTCAATTTCTGGTGTACAGCCCAGTCATACATATACATACATACATTTGTGGGTTTTTTGATAACTTTATTTTTCATTTTTCCTTTCTGAAAAGTGAGCAGTGATAATAAATGAATAGAAAGTTCTTGCTTACTGGGTTTTTTCTTTTAACTTTCAATTAAAATTTTAGAAATCTTAGTGTGAGGATGAAATATCCTTGGAAGTGGTTGTTCCAGTCAACATTCAAGAAATTATTCTGGAATGCTAAGGAGAATAGTGAACAGTTTTACTCTGCACTCTTTGCATGACAAAGGAAAATATTAGTACTGTACTTTAAAAATATTTATTTCTAAGACTGATTGTAAAATGATGCTTTGTTGGACCAAGTTTAAAAAAAAAGTTTATAAATAAGAATTCCAACTCTTGCTATGTTTATATTTGTTTACTATGAAACCCATGTTGATTATTCAGTGAACTTTGAAATTGAAAATAATTTTGACACTTGATTCAAATGATTCTTTTGCATATATGTCATCCTTTCAGAAATATGTCTACCTAAGCATACAGCATTTAAATAATACACGATTGTTATAACTTAGTTTCAGGAGAGAGGAACAAGAGAAAAGACCTCCTAAATTAAATATAAAACTGCTGTTTTATTGGCCAGTTGCATTTTATTGAACGTATAACATAGAATTATGTCGTGAGAAATCACTCTACTTGCTCACCAAACTGTGTTAGCTTGTTAGTATGTATTTTTAGTAGTAAGGAGAACAGAATTCAGAACTCTCTTCTTACTCTTCCCTGTGTAAACTATTGGTTTACAGAGAGAATTCTTGTTGTTTCCTACTAGACATGGGAAGGCAAGGAGAAAAAAACTAAATCCCTGAGAAAGAAATAATGATTTCTCCCAAGAAGTAAAAATTAAGAGAAATCATGGTCTGGAAGGCATGTGTACAGTAAATCCATAGCCCTTACTATGATCAAGCCTCTATTTGTTTGGTAGAGGGTCCTATCTCATCTACTATTGGCTTTTAAGCAAAAGACCTTGCTCACTTGGGTGTTGTATTTGCTCTTCCCTCTGTCTGAAGTGCTCTTCCCCCAACGCAGCCTGTGGCTGGTTCCTTTCCTTAAGGTCTCTACTCTAGTCACTTATCAGTAAGGCTTTGTTCTCTTACCATCTTATTTTAAATAGCCATCTCTCTTCCTCCAGTTTCCTCTCTGCCTCATTTTTCTTCGTAATATTCATTACCTTGGCTTTTCTCCCTGCACTAGAGTTTAAACTTCTTTTGAGGACAAGGATGAATTTGGTCTATTCTATTCACTCTATTGTTCCTATTACCAAACAGTGCTTGGCACATACGAGTTATTTGGTAAATATTTGTTGAATAAATAATGTTCATAAATGAATCTTCATTTTTGTATATTCTACCACAAAACCTTACAAATAACTTAAACTTTAGAAAAATTTGGTAAATAACTTGCTTTAGAGGAGAGAATATTGTATAATATCTTGGTGGAAATAAGAATAATGGTAAAGTATTAAATGATTTATGACTTCTAGATTTGGTTTTCTAGTACTACTCAATTTAAATGAGATATTGGCTGAATTGTAAGATGTATAAACATCTTTAAGACATTTTTACTTTTCTGTGACTTAATGATATTTGGTCATTTCACAAAATTATTTTAAGGTTTAATGTTTGTATAAACTTTTGAATGTTTTTCCAATGAGCTTTGCTTTAATGTAGCACTGTTCAAATTATATTGCAATTACTTTCATGTCAATTTCCTCTGTTAGACTTGTATATTCCTTGAGGTTGAGGACCAGTGATATAAATATTTTTGTGCTCTGTTGCCTAGATGGGTGCCTGGCAAATGGCCCAAGCCCAACAAACATTTTTCAATTGAAAGTGAGAGATGTGTGATACTGTTATTTTTACTCTATATAGGAATCCAAATTTAAGGAAACAGGTGTTATCACCCCAGAGGAGGTGAGTATTGGAGACACTTATAAAGCTCTTACATTATACAATTACATAAAACTGGGTGGCTTTTTTGCTTTATAAGAAAACATCTTGAACTTTAATCTTGATTTGAGTAAAATTAGATTGTTGACTATATCATCAATTTTGTAAGTATTTCTACTTCCTGTAGAAGAAACGGCAACTTCCCTCTCAATTTTCCATTTTTCATATTTTTCTGTAGTTCCTCTGTTTAGAAATGAGGATGGGAGAGGGAATGGAAGAGATTCCTGTAGTGACTTATTTTTCACTCACATATGTATTATATTGAGCTATGCACTGGGCTCTGGTGTTTGCCATGTCTTGCCTTTGTCTACCCAAATATGGGTTTTCATGGCTTTCCATTTGGAAAATTAGGCTCACTGCTTGGATATTAAATTTTCTATCAGTATTCAGCTTAAATATTATATTGCTACCTACTTAACACTGTTTTTTTTTCCCCCACTATTCTTTTACTTTTTCTACTAATCAAATAATGATGGATCTGCTTAATGCAGAAACTAATGGCTGTTTTTTAGGCCAGGTTTGTTTTATTGAACTTCTAACATAGAGTTATGTTTTGAGGAGTCATTTTACATGTTCTTCTAATCTATATAATAAAAGTGGTCTTTTTCCTTTAGTTTATTTTGTTGTCTTTAGAGAAATAAATACTGGTCTGAAAATCCTTTCATACTCCAGTTTTATGTATAGTTATGGTTACATCAGACTTAAAATTATTCTTGATGAACAGAAAATAATTTATTTAAGCCTCACTCTTAACTTTTAATAGAAGTACCACTCATTGGCAATAGAACTTTACTCATTATTTTGAAAGAAACATTTTGGAATGAGCCATGTTGTATGATCTGGCTGTTGCTATAAATTCCAAGCCCTCAAGCCAGAGAATTAACTGTATTAAATTAATACAGTTTTCAGTTGTAATGAAATGTTTTTAGTCCCAAATCCTTATAAGTTCAAAGAACGGTGTGCTGAACTGGTGTTTTATCTAAAATTGTCTTTATTTTTAGTGCAGACACTCAGTGGTATGGACAAAACCTGAAAGACCTGCCTTCTAGACCCGTTTCTCTAATTTCTCCTGTTCTGACTCAGGCAAATCAGTTAAGCTATCTAGGCACAGGCCTCATGTTTCCTGATCTGTAAAATGAGGGGTTTGACCTGACATTCTCTGAGGGACCCATTCTGCCTCAGGCATCATGAGCTTAATACCTTGAATGTCAAATAAAACTCAGTTTTAATCTTAAGCATATCATTAATGTTCTTGCCAGCTGTAATTTAGACATGACTGTAGAAACTAAGTACCTAAAATAAAGAGCAGAGCTGGAAGTATGCTGTTTTTCTTGTACTCTTTAGCTTTATCTCCTCTATGTGAAGATGACTAATTGGTAGTTGGAGGTAGAGATACAAGTCTGTGGTCGTTGGCTGGAATTAAGCTAACTGTTTTAAAACAACTACTAATGCTATAATGAATAACTTAATTGAATCATGAAGCGATTTATGAATTTTCTCCTTTTTAAATAAATGCAAGGCAAAACTAGCTCAGCTGGTTGCCAATCATGTAAAGCTGGATTGAGATAGAGCGCAATTACAGGATTTTGTTAGGTTAGAATGAGTCTAGAGGAAGAAAATCAGAAGACATAATTTGCTTTGGAAAAACACTGAGTTGGTATGTTCATTTGTTTTAGTTTCTGGGCTTCTGACTGTCAGCCTCTGGCTGTCTTTTTATTTTCATTGAGAGGTATGGAAGTATTGTGTTTAAAAAGAGGGACAGGCATTATCTAGTATGAAGTTGCTCATCAAAATGTTACTATTGATTTTGTCTTGTTGGAGTTACTCAGTATTATCCAATATTTAATCACGGAGAGAAGCTATTGCAAGCAGTATGGAGAATTTAGAAATTTGAGTCTTTCATTTGAGCATAGGAAGCACATAATAATAAGGGCCATTGCTAATGAGAGCAGGTATACACATATACTAAATATCAGTTCAATTCTATGTTCTTTCATAGTTTTTCTTATCTTATAGTTTCTGTTATTTTTTTATAGATGCCACCAGAGGTGCTATGGAATAAAATGTTACGAGTCTTGTGACTTCAAGGCAGTATCATTAAAGAAATTGTTTCAGCATTAAAGAGTATTGTTTTTATTTGGGTTTTTGTTTTTATCTAACCAGATTAAATAGTAAAGAAGTTCTTTAAAAAACAGAACATTTGTAAAGTTGCTGTTGGAAGTTTGCTGCTAAGTGTTATCTTGTTAATCTATCTTCTTAAAAAAGTTATTCTCAGACTTCTTATTTTATAGTTTTACTCTCTCAAATTAAAAATAGAATAAGGTATATAAACATATGTTGATATACAAACAAATGATATGTAAACATTCTCAGAAAGACTAAGATAATGTTTAAAATATTTTTTTGCACTGTGTAATAACCAGTGAACAATACATGATTTTAAGTTAGAGCTGTTGTGAAATAGAAATTGGGAAAGTATGTTCACATATTGCTTGAGTAACAGACTTTCATTTTCTGTTCTCAGGAATAAGTAGGATCTCTGTCTTGTGATAAGATCAGTGCATGTTCATGTATAATGGAAATTCTCAAAAGGTTAAACTATTTCTTTCTGAGTCTGTTTTTCATTTCTGAAGAAAAACAAAAACTTGTGTAATGTTCAACCTGCCCAGAAAGTCCAAGATTTGAGGATTCAGTTTCTTAAATTGTCTTTGTGTTTTCCGACTTAATCCAGAAGCTTCTAACTTCCCCCCGTTGTTTGGCACTACAATTATCACTTTTGTTAGTGATTCCTTTAATAATATGAAAAAGCTTTCAACATTAGATGTTACTTAAATTTTTTTTTAAAATGAGGAAGAAAAACTACGCACTGTGATGTAATAAGCTATTCTTACATCATAGACCTGTATTTGTTTAGTAATTGTTTTCAGAGATCTTCATTGAGTTTTCAACTAAAGTAGTAAGAATCTTTCTACATTTTAATCATCTATAAAATGGTTTTTAGCATTTTAAATCCTGTTATATTACCTTTACTCATTTCGTGATACTTTACGCTTCTGGCATTATTTAATCCAGTGATTAAAATTGAATAAAAAAATTAATAGCACTCAATATTTTTCTTTCTAAAATTAATTTGAATTTTTCGGATGTTAAAAATTTTGTAGTTTTAATATTCATAAATAAATCTCTAGGCTGATAGAGCAAGTTGGTATTGTTTACATTTTAATTGATTATTGGGTATCAGATTTACATAGACCTTTGATATTTTGCCACCTCACATTCAGTGATGTTCAATTTTTCTTTTTTCCTTTTGTCATACTCCTTTTAAATCTTGAATAGTTTGTGGCAGCTGGAGATCACTTAGTCCACCACTGTCCAACATGGCAATGGTAAGTAATCTTGAGTGAGGAACAGAAAATTCATAAAAGGTATGACTTCACAATTATGGCAGTTTGCAAAATAGATTAGTGCATGAAAATTAGAATGACTAGTTTAACCCTCTTCTAGTAGAATTTCTGTTAAATGGTGCCCTAGTGATACTCCAAGTAAAATAAATGAAGAAAAATTGGGCATTATACCTGTTCTGTTTTGCTCTGTTAGCACAAAAGATGAACATTTTGGAGATAAATGCCTTATTTCCTTTGCCAGTATTCCCTTTCTTCCCTAGTTCTAGGTCTGATCTTGTGTTAGATCTTTGAAAAATAATTTTCAAAAGTTAAATCAATTTGATCAGCTTATTTTTTAAATTGAAAAGTATTGACTATTTCTGTGACAATAATAAATGTGGAATTTTGCATAATCTTACAGATTTTAACCATAAGGCCTTCTTTAAGTTTCAAAAGTATCTCCCAATTTTAGGAATTAGCTTAAAAGTTGAGATTTGTGATACTGAATAAAGTTAAAATTGGAAATCTACTCATAATAGACTTTTCCACTTTTATTTTCTATGTAACTTTTCTTTTAAGTATAAGGTATTTTAAGCTACTTAAAATGTGTCTTTTAAATGTGTGAATAAAAACAATGTTTTAAAACAAATTCAGTTTCATTACTCTCTGTTCTTATGATAAAACTGTAAGTAGCTGAAACATTGATCCCAATACCGGCATACTATTTTAATTAGACTAAAATTGTTTGGAATTATCTTATTTGGATATGAGTGAGTCAACTGATTGCATCCTTTTTTTCCCCCCTCAGTGATGCTTTTTCAAGTGTAATTGAAAGGTATAGTTTTGAACTGGGAGTAGGGGTTCTAGAATTAACAAGAGTCTAATTGATAATGTTTTCCTTAATATCTAAAGAGGTTAAATTATTAAACTATTTAAAATTAGAGTTGGAACTCTTTTTCATCTGTGGTCTTTTCTTGTACCCTTAATTTTTAAGTTTAACACATATCCAAAATTGTTCTTACTGCTTTTTATCAATTGCTCTTTATCTTGTAGAACATTTGTTTTTATGTACCAAGAAAGGCCAAAATGTCAGGTTCATTTATTTTTATGTCTTTGTCTTGCCTGAGTGTATTTCTGTTCCATATTTTAAATTGTGTTCCTATCATAGAAGCTCTCTGATTTATTCTTTTCTCTCCCTAAATTGTTAAAACTATTTAGCTAAGTTCTGGTCTATAGTTTATATATATTTCAAGTCAACTATATATATAAAATTTAAAATAATACTCATTTTGCAAAAGAAAAAGTTACTGATTTAGGATTTTCTTCAATACACGTGTGATAGATACACATTTCCTTTATTCAGATTTCTTTGTTGTAGCCCTTAATTGTGTAATTGGTTAAGTATATGATTTATGGTATTGTCATATGGGTTGGTATATATGGACAGGATCTTCTTTTAGTGGATGGTAGTTCATAGTTCTACTTTATGAATTGTGATGATTGAAATCATTTTATTTGAGCTTAGAACTCAGTTACACCACATTCCAGTGTCCACACTTCTGGCTGAACTGCTGGGGCCAAAGGAACAATTCATTTTAAATCAGTTCTAGAAACAGATTATTTCTTGTGCTATGCGTTCATATCTACCAGTGCCATCATGACCGTATTGTATCTTCTTTCCTTAGAACTTCAGGCATTACTATGACATTGTTGAATTTCACACTTGGGAGTGGTCTAAAAGAAGCCTAGAAAGCTACCAAATGATATTAGGGCATTCCCTGGCTTTATCTTATGCTCAAATCTGTGGTTTGAATTTTAGACTGAAGCTTAAGGAGGCAGCAGACCTCCAGAGTTATGCTCGTTTATATTTGTATGGATGCCACATGCCACCCCAGCTCTAACCACTTCCAGTAGGTAACCAAAGAAGAATCTTTGCACAAATAGTGAGATATTCCAGAGTAGCTCCAAAAAGTCAGAAATGTTGTATCTAGCTCTGACCCACAGAGGGAGTAGTGTTTAAGAACAGGAGTCCTGGAGTCCGTCTCTTGGCTTCATCCAGGCTCTTCTACCTTCTGGTTTTATGACTGTGGGCAACCTACCTTCTTTAAACTTTTGTTTACTTACTTATAAAATGGGGATATTAGTATTGCTCATTTTTTAGGTTTCTGAGGATTATTTGAAAAGAATGCATGTTATAGTTCTAGGTCCTGTATTTATTAGCATGCAATAAAAGATTCTTTCTTTGTTTTCCTCCATCATTCTCAACATTACCATCTTGGGATCCAAAGCATATTTTATCTCTTAGTTCCAATTTTAATACAGTGGTAGGAACATGGTTCTTGTCAACCACCTGCTTTGTTATGTAATGTCATGTAGCTATTTTTCTGCTTCCTGGTCTTCAGAAGAACAGAACTTTTATATTAAAAATCTGAATGAAATTCTTTTTGTTTAGAGGTAAACATAATAATTGCTTAATAGTTCTGTATTCTACTTTTTTTGTCTAATATTTATTCCAGATTTTCTTGGTCTGTCTGTATCTCTTAGTACATTTCATTTAAAGTATTGCTGTGTTCTTCATTGCCCTGACATATTTCACTTATGGCATCCTTCCCATACCATCCTAAAATTGTTTTCTCAGGGGTGTGGATTGTACATTTTGAGATTAACTTGTGATATCTTCTGTCTTTGCCTTTAAAAATATTTGTGCGTTTTGGTGCTTTTCACTCTTTTAAAGGGCTACAGGGGAAGAATTGAAAGTGAAGGCATACCTACCAGCAGGCAAACAATTTTTGGTCACAAAAAATGGTAAGAATTATGTTGCATATATTTGTAAATTTTGCATGAAGAGTTATATTTTTAAAAAACCTTTAGCACTTACTGATCTTAATTTGTGCTTAAAGCTGTATTTACATCTTCTCTCAGATGAAAATTTGGAAATTTAATGAAACTCTGGGTTCTCTATTGTGAGAATATTTTTTTCCATACCTGATTTTTAATCTCCTTTTTATTTCTTTTTGCAAGACAAGTTTAGTTTTAAGACATGAAGGAAAAGGGCCTTAAGCAAAGTTAGACTTCTTCTAATTGGATTTTTTAAGTTGACTTCGTAATTATAATCTTTTTAGCTTTTTAATTTTAATCTTCTTTAGACTTACTTTTCATGGAAAGTATTATTGATACTGCCTTTGATATCCAAAATCTTAAAGCTGGAGGTTTTGTTATCCATTGTGTCACTGAAAGATTGCCTATAGGCACACAAATGTTTCTGAAATGGATAGGTGTTTATGAAGTTAATGAAGTTATTTATGAAGTTAATTTGAAAACATCATCAAAAGGTTGTTATAGTCCCTATCTAATCACACTATATGTTTTAAGAGTATTGATCATTTATATATTGCTTGTTTTAAAAAAATCAGATTAGTAGCATTTTTTTTGGTTCCACATCATAATGTTTTTATATTATAATTGTTCAATTTTAGACTTATATGAATAATACCTGTTAATTGATGTGTTTGCTATATGGAAAACTTGGTACCAATATTGTGTAAGATAGGAAAGTTTAACATGTTAGTGAATTTTGTACTAGTTTATCCATTATGAATAGCTGGAGCTTAAGTATAAATTATAAAATTCATATTGAAAGTTACTTTAGCATTTCAAACCCAGAGGTCACCTCTACCACCTCCGAGTATGACAGGTGGTGCCTCCATGTTCTGAGAGTAAAGCCATTAAAATAATGTATTATTAGTCATTAGCCTGAGGTTGAGCAATGTCATCTCTGGCTTCAGCCTTGCTGTTGTTCCACAGACTGCCAGGGTAAGGGATACTTGAATACTTAGAATACTCCCAGTAGACCCTTTCTAATTATTTTCCAACAAAGCTATTTAGGGAAAGATAAGTGTGGTCACATAATTATGTGTCTGTAGGCTGAATGTAACTTTTAAATTAAGCACTTTTATTAGAAGTAAAATATAATTTTTATCTAATATTTTGGTAGAAATTTATTTTCTGGGGTAAACTCTCTTTTATAGGAAGCAGATTATGTGCTAGTAACTGTACTTGCTTTTTTTTTTTTTTTTTTTTTTTTTTACAGTGCCATGCTACAAACGGTGCAAACAGATGGAATATTCGGATGAGTTGGAAGCTATCATTGAAGAAGATGATGGTGATGGAGGATGGGTAGATACTTACCATAACACAGGTAAGAGGAGATAGAACAGCATATATTTAAATTACTTATATAATAGCCTTGATTAAAGGAAAAAAAAGGGGGGGTACATAAGCCATTGTTTTGTCCCAGTAGACTTACCTGAAAAAAAGTGGGAGGACAAATTGGAAAAAAAGAAAAAAATGCTCCTTGGGTATACTAGATTTCTGTAGCACTGCTACTTTAGTAGCTATTTGAAAATATCCATATTATTTCTAAAGAAAGAAGGCAAGCCAGTTAGAAATACTGAGTATGCGTACTACTTTGCTTTAGAATCCCTTATTTACATGTCATTCCATTGCTGGATGACAAGCTTTTAGGACAGGGACCACACTATACTCATATTTATTTTACTCAGAGACCTGGCATTTAAAAATATTTAATAGTTATTTATTGAATGATTACTAAAAAGTATTGTAAGGACTGTAGGCTTTTGAGGGTAGAGATTCATTGTTGCATCTTCAGTATCTGTCATAATATCTGATATAAAAGTTGTTCAGTAAAATATTGTTAAAGGAATTGATTAAATTTAAGCTTTTCATTAAATCATGTTTGTGTAAGTTGTTTGGAACTCTGAATATGATTTTTCATTCCAAGTTATAGAAACATGTTTTTGTTTATGTAACTATGTAAATGAATATTATATATATACTGCTATAGCTAACTACCATTTGTGACGTAGAACGTATTTTCTTTATTAAAACTAAGTTTAAATCTAGGTTAATAAAAACAAGTTTTCTCCCTCTTAACTCCTAGACAGTAGGAGGTATATCAAAGGTAGTAGGAGAGCAGGGATTCTCAGCCTTAACACTGTTAACATTTTGGCCTGGATAGTTCTTTGTCATAGCATTTCCCATGCATTGCAGAATGTTTAGCAGCATCTCTGGGCTCTGCCCACTAGATACCAGTAGCATTCTCCCAGTTGTGACAACCAGAAATGCCTCTAGACATTGTCAAATATTCTACAAGGGGCAAAATTGGTGCCCTCAGTTGAGACTCATGGCAATAGACTGAGCGCTAAGTAATCTGCACAGGAAAAAGTACCTCATTAAGGTAGTTTGTCCTCTACTCTGAATAAAGGACACTGCCATCTGTTTCCTTATGATGATATAGAAACAGATTCAGGACTTGAGTTCCTTGATCTGAAACTCTTGTTCCTTCCTGAGCTGAATATTGTTATGTCATGGCCTAGAGGAAATAGCAGATGAACAACTCAAAATAATTCCAAAAATCGTCCTCTTTTCCCCAGTGGGCAGTGCTGTTAGACTTTTTCCCCAGGTTTTTCCATAATCTTTCAGCTGCTCTGCTTTAGTTTTCACACAACTAGATGTGGGTAGCACATCTGTAGGAAATTGTTACCGACTAGAGCCATTGGTTGTAGCACTATTCTTCTGATGTCAAGTTAATGAGTTACTCTGTTGTCTAGTTGCATTGTATTCCATAATTCCTAGCCCCAAATCCAGGTGGATGTTTACAAAGACATTCATCACAGAGATGAGTAGGTGCCAGTATGATTGGATTGACAAAAATCTATTATAGAAATTCTACAACTAAACAAATGTTTGCCCTATTGACAGGAGACAAATAACGTCATTTTCAATACTTCAGTTAGTTGGTATACAAAATAAATTCTAAGTAATGGTTATGTTTATAAATACCCTTAGAATTTTAGGTTTAAACTGTATTCTGATTGGATTAAAGCAGTGCTTTCAGCTGACTCACAAGGCCAGGTGAGGTATTCACCTCAGTTCCCTTTGCTTTATCCCTGCTTTTCTTCTCTGAGGCTGCTTTTATTTCTGCTAGCCCTTGAATTAGTCATGGTTCTCCAGGGAAACTGTGAATATAGATGCAGATGGATTTGTTTTGAGGAATTGGCTTACATGATTGTTGGAGCTTACAGTTCTGAAATGTCTAGGGCAGACTGGCTAGCAGCCTGAAGACTCAGGGGAGAGTTGATTACTGCAGCTGGAGTCTGAGGACAGTCTAGAAGCAGAATTAATTCTTCTAGAGCACCTCAGTCTTTTTCTCTTAAGGCCTACAATGGATTGAATGAAGCTTACCCACATTATGGAGGGTAATCTGCTTTACTCAAAGTCTACTGATTTAAATGTTAAGCACATCTAAAAAAAATACCTTCATAGCAACATCTAGTTTGACCAGACATCTGGATACAATAACCTACCCAAGTTGACATATGAAATTAACTGTCAGAGCTCTTGAGAGTATTAACCTTCATTAGAGTCATTTGAGCTTTCTTTTTATTTGCCAGTTATGGCCTACTTTTAGGAGAGTCTGGTTTAATGGGATACTACTACGTTATTGTATTTAGAACAGATTGAAGAGGTTTATTTTCTTTGTTTCTATATACTGGATTCAGTGAATTGTTTTATAATACCAATTCATTATGTTAATACTTGGGCTTTACTGTTATAAGCATACCTATTATAAAATAATTTCTAGAAAAACTACTCTGAAGTAAAAGCTTGATGCTAGAGCTGTGGATTTTGACATTTTCCATTTGTAAAAGTGAGTCATTTTTTGATTTGGATATATTGAACAGAGATATCAAAGCTTTAGAAGATTGACAAGGAGCAAAGCATATTTTATATTTAGGGTTTTTTTTCTTGGATATTTCCCATCCCTGTAGAACTATCTAGTTGAGAACACTGACGGGTATTTTGAATTAGAAATATTATTTAGCTGACTTATGATGCTGTCATCTGCTCAATGCCATCTTCCTTGGGACAAGTAGGTTCCAAGGTAGTTGCTTAGTGAGGTGCAGTAGACAGCATGGAACCAAAAGTCGGCCCGTGTAGATTTGAATCCCAGTTTCTTCATGTAACTCTCCTTGAGACTGAGGCAAGTCACTTTCTCTCTCTGGAGACTAATCTTTATAGGGAAAAATTATTACCCTAACTGCCTCACAGAATAGTGTTTGTAAGAATTACATAAAATGTGGAAACAGTAAAATAGAAAGTCCCATATAAATGTGATATGATACTACTCTCTGGGTGTCTTAGATTTCTGAAGAATGGCTATTTAATATAACCAATGTCTTGTTGAGAAAATGTCAGTGCATATTTAAATGTAAATATGACTCCTGTAGTCTCGTAATCTCTTCACTTTCTGAGCATATATGTTTTTATAGACTCAGAAAAGGAAAGTAAATAAAGTAAATGAGAAAGTAAATGAGGAGTAGTAAATGAGGAATGATATGGTAAGATAATTCATGGTAAAATATTAAATTAGTGTTTTAAAATTTTTATTTTTATCTTGAAAAGTGCCTTTGAGATTATTTACTCCTATTAGAGTTCATTTATAAAAATACTGCTAACGTTGACTCCACATTTTAGAGAACTTGAGAGAATTTAGATAACATTAAGTGTTTTTATATTGCTCAAATCATAAATGGAGGATGTTTACAACTTAATTTTAGTTATTATTTTCTAAATTTTAAATAGGTATTGCAGGAATAACTGAAGCAGTTAAAGAGATTACACTGGAAAGCAAGGTACTGGTTAATTAGTTATGTATCTAAATTCAGTAACCTAGTTATTTGCACGTGTATATGCATGTGTATGTATCTATGTTTTAAGGTTACTTATATAATTCTTGTGTAAACTCTGATTATTTATTATCAGACTCTTTTAAATTTCATTTTTTCCCTCTCATTTTTCTATATCAACATCCAAAACACTGCCGTTTCCCAGTGCTTCTCTTCTTTTCCTTAATCTGTCAAAGGGTTAAAAACATTTTTTTGTGATGTAACTGGTTAAAACTTCCCAGTTTTTACTAATTGGGAAGACTTTTAGGCCAGTTTAAAAGAAATGGGTGTTTATTTTTAAGCATAAGTACCAAATGTTCTGAAAGTGGAAGTTTTCAAAGAGATTTTACTTGCTGATTAGTAGATGCTGACAATATATTGTTTAAATTTGTAGTTTAAACATTGTCTTAAGCAATTTACTCGTCTCTTCTGTAGTTTTTTAATTTACTGCTAATTTGAGGATTTTCTTGTTTTGCTTTTGAAAATTTAAAGGTAAACTTTAATTTATATCATCTAAAATGACGTCTTGAATGTGGAAGCTAAATCAGTTAGGTTTTATTGTACAATTTTGGGAATTGGATAAAAATTTATAATTGGAGTTTTTCTGCTTGAAAGTTTTCAGTTACTTCAGACTATGCATTATATTAGCTTTTCATTTCTAAAGAGATAATGAGTACAGTTGTCTTCATATTTTTATATAGTTTGAAACGATATGAAAAATAATACAAAATACCTTCACATTTATCTTCTCTTAATTGTTTTGTTAACACTCAAGTCTTTTAGAAGATAGAATATTTGGACAGGATGATTGTATTCCTTTTGTCCTTATGACTCATTAAACTGCAACAGTTTCTAGTTTGAAATTCCTCTTTTTGTGTTTTTGTCATTTAGATCTTTTGGGTTTGTTACTAGGGCTCAACAAAGGTGTTAGAAACTAAAACAAGTTTTTCTTTTAATTTTGTTTTTTAGTGTTCAATTTTAGACTTGATAGGGATTAAGGTTTAGTTCATTATTCTGAGAATTCATCCTTTTGAAGTTCTACTTTTTGGAGAGTTTGAATGACTAAGGGAAAATTATATAAATGGCTTTGCTGCTTCAGAAGCTCTTGTTTACTCCAGCCATTAGTGTGTATGCTTCAGACTTTGAGAATGATAAATGGAGAGAAGTGTGGATATAGCATTGTTTTGATAGGTTTATGGTAGTTCTTTCAAGAATTTCTAATAAATGCAATAATGATTAATATGGTACTTGGTACCCCACCTAACATTCTTATGTCCTCCTAAAGGATGTATACTTAGAATAATTTACAACTAGAAAATATCCTGTCATTTCCTATTTAATATAGAGTTTATGTGATTTTTTTTATAATTTATACTTAGAATATTTACTATCCAGACCCAAGTATTAATTTTGGTTGATGATTTCTACTGTATTCTACTATATCAATTATGAACCTCTCCAACATCATTAAAACTTCCCTTGATTAATTTGTCACCTATTGGTGCATCTAAAATTTACCCAGATACTGATGGTCTTTTTTCTATGGTTTCACATTTTTGGTGTAATAGTGCTACATGTTATTTACATTTCTAGTAGTAAATAAAATCATCCCTAAATAAACTTGTAAATTAGATAAAACTAGCTGTCCAATTTTTTTACTTACTATATTGACTTCAGATTTTTAGAATATTAATTTTGTGAAAATGATAATTTATATTAGGCTTATCTTTGGTTAGCATTCTTACATTCTAGTGCTAACATAGTTAATAAATGAACTGAAATCTCATGTGTTGTAATAACTGTTATTGTTTAATTCAGCCAAGGTATTGTTAACAGAATATAATTGTTTGATACATAATAATATAACTTATAAATGTATTGTGATTTATAAATATATGTTTTTTCTCCTTTAAGTGTGCAAGTTAACTGTGAACTGATTTTTCTAGCACTGATGAATTGGTTAACTAAAAATATTGTTTTATTGGAAGTACAACTGGCAGCTATTTTTAAATGGTTTGCTTAGATAGCTCTTGATGCTTTTTGTATTTTTCGATCACAGCACATAGGACATCACTTTTAATGATTGGTTCATGGGTTTGTTATCTGAACTAGGAGTTTCCTGAGGATAACAACTGTCTTATAGCTCTTATTTTCATAGTGGTTAGCACTGTGCTCGCATGTGGATGCTCAGTATTTGAACTAATGAACATACTTAAGTGACTATAAATATAATTAATTTCAAAGGACAGTATAAAACTCCAAGATTTCTCAGTACTATGTGAGGAGGAGGAGGAAGACGAAGATGAAGGAGAAGCTGCAGATATGGAAGGTATTTGTGTTCCAAATTTGCTTTAATCACAGTGGAATATTGATTTTGGAATATATGTAATTCATTTGAGTTAAGAGTTCTACTCCACTGAGTTCTAAATTTTAACATTTAACAGCACAAAGAGGCCTTGTTTGGTTTAAATTTAATCAGTACAGAACTTATCTTGGTCTTAAACAGTGCAGAACTCTTCTGCTTTACCTAGACCGTAGCCTTGATAGCATTATTTCTGCTGAGATCAGTGTTAATCATAAATCTTTAATTCTGGGTACAACTGTAAGGTACAGATTCTTGAGCTAATTCTTAAACTAAGAACAGAATGAAATCTGTTCTGGCATTTTGTATTTTCTTTTTCCTTTTTGATAATATCTTACTACTAAAACCTTATGATAATGATTCTTAATGGGGTCTTTTGAACTACACAGAACCCCTCACTGCTCTATGAGAATCTGAAGTGCTTTTCTAGGAATACCGGCTGAGAATCACTCTTTTAGCGAATCATTGTTTCAAGAGACTGAAACTCACTGTACTAACAACAGGGTAATATAGGTTTAAATGTATATGGCTATTCAAAGGTGCATATTTTATAAGCATTATAGTCTTTATGCAGGTGAAACCTTAGATTAAAATTAGTTGAAGAAATTGCTGTCACCAGGGCAACCTCTCTGTTAAATGCAGTCTGTCTTTATTGTACTTATCTTCTCTGCATTATTTATTTGATTCTGTTAACTATTTCCTCCTCTTTTTTTTCCCTCCCTTGTTTTTTATGACATGGGGTTTTCCTCCTCCTTCCTTGACTGTTTCTTCTAAATCTTCTTCTGGGGTTCTTTTACTTTTGCCCAGCTGTTAAATGTTACTGTTTCATAAGGTTTCACTTTTTTTTTTCTGCTCACTTCTTACACTCCCAGGTAGATTTTTGTCTACTTTTACGGTTTCTGTAATTGCATACTGTGGTCCAGTATGGAATTATGTACAACAGGAAAAATGGCGATCTAAATTACATTAGATTCTCTATGAGGATTTAAATATGACTATATATGTATGCATTTAGAGAGAGTTAGCAGTTGGGAAAAAGGAAGAGTATGAAAAACAGATGGCAGGCATTTTGGAAGCTGTGAAGTGCTGAATCACCCAAACACATAGAATTTATGGTGAGATAGACACGTTTTGTCGCACGCAGAAGTAGGTCGCGTCAGTAGAGTTGAAGCACCATAATGGCAAGTGGTGTTTGCCGATGAGGAGGTGACAGCACAGCCTAGCCTAATCACCAGAGTAGCCTTGACTTAAAAGTATCTTTCAGTTTGTTTCCTAACTTATTTTTGAGTTACCATGAAACCTAGCTGTTTATCTGTTCCTGAAATCAAGCGAGAGCCTTGTCCTTATTTCCATTGTAAAATCTCATTCTTTGAAGAAATCCAAGTAAATTACTTGTAACCGAAATTGCTCACAGCAACCTCATATACCCTGTCTTTGCTCAAGACTTCCATGTCTAAACCCCCAACCCAGATCTCATGAACTTCAAATCTACTTGTTTAGTTTCATTTCCACCTGGATGTCTCATAATTGTCAGAACAACCTTCTTGTACAAATAATCTTTCTGGATTCCATCTGTCTCTGAATGGCACACAGTTGTCCAAGTTGGAGTGGGGAATTGTATGAATAAAGCACTGATTTGGAAGTATAGAGTTAGCTCACCCACATTTATTCAGTATCTTTAGGCGGAAACAAAAGACAAAACTAGTCTTTTAGTATGTTTGTTACATTTCCCATGGATAGTTAAAGAATTGCTATATGTGGAATTTTGCTTAAAAAACAGTGTTGATAGTATCTAACGTAACAGTCAATTTTCATTTGTTATTCCACAAGTATACGTTGGGCAATGCAGTGTGTATGTATCAGATACTGCTTTGGTGCTGGAGATAATGCAGTAGACAAGATCTCATGGAGCTAACATTTGATTTAGGGGGCACAAACAGAACAATAGATAAGCAAAACATAGTACTGTCTTAGATGGCTGTAAGTGTTAGGGAGAAAAATAAAGGACAGAGTGGGTAGGGAGTCCTGTGGTAGGATGAGTGTTGTAATTTTTAAATCGGTGGTCAAGAAAAACCTCATTGAGAATATGCCTTTGAGTGAAGCCCAGCAGGAAGTGAGTGAACAAGCTATTTGGAGGTCTGAGGAAGCATGCAAAGGCCCTGAAGGGGGAGTATGTGTGGTTTGTATAAAATACTGCAAGGAGGCTCCACAAGAGTGAGGAGACGGTAGTAAGACATGGGGTCAGAGAGGTACCCTGAGAACCAGATCGTGTAGGGCCCTGGCTTTAAGTCAAAGTGTGATGAGAAGCCTTTAGAGGGCTTTTCTAAACAGAAGAACAACTAAAGTGGAATTTAACATCTTAACAGAATCTCTATGACTTCGGTGTTGGGGGAAGAGATAGGGACAGTTAGGCGGTTATTTTGATAATATAGGCAAGAAATGACTGTGGCTTGGGCTTGAGTAGTAACATTGGAATTGATTAGAAACCACAAAATTCTGGACATACTTTGAGGCTAGGGCCCAAAAGGATTTGCTGCTGGATTGAATGTGATATGAGAGAAACCAAGTAGTCGAGATTTTTGACCTGAGTTTCTTTTGGAAAAATGTCATTAATTGAGAATGGGAAAATCTAGACTGAACAGCTCTGGAGGGGGAGTCAGGAGCTCAGGTTTTTTGTTTTTCCCCACCCTTAACAGAGGCACTGGGGATTGAACCCATGACCACGTGCACGCCAGGCACCCACTTTACCACTGAGTTACATCCCCAACCCCAGCAACTCAGTTTTTAATGTGATATTTCTGCTGCCCTTTAGTCATTCATTGGAGCAGACAATCAAGTATCCAGGATTTGTAGTCAGGGAATACATTTGAGAGTCATCAGCATTTAAAGCCATTGGGACTAGGTGAAATCATCAAGGGAGTATGTGTAGATAGAGAAGAGACAAGGTCCAAAAACTGAGCTCTTGGTTACTGCAGAGTTTAGGGGTAAAAAAGGGTCGAGATGGTGAGATGATAAAGAGGAACCAGTCTAAGAGATAGTGAAGGAGAAGCTAATGAGGTGGAAGGAAGGCCAGGAAAATGTAGTATCTTAAAGGCTGAGAAAAGAAAAACCTTCCAAGGAGGGAATAAATCATACTAGATGTTCTTGAGCAGTCAATTAGGATGAAAACTGGGAATTTACCACTGGATTCAGCAAAGTGGAAATCACTGATGACTTTAACAGGCACGTTTTATGCAATTATATAAATAGCCCTGTGCATCCTGTGGAGTCACTGACCACCCCACAGTGCTGTTGTGCCAGCTGGTATTATTAATAGTCTGTAGCACAGACCAGACCTTAACCATGCTAACTTTCTCTGACTCTGTCAGGTAAAGTGTCTGCTGCTCTGGAAGTATAAAATTAGCTCACTGACATTTATTCAGTATCTTCAGTCAGAAACAAAGCAAAAACCTAGTTTTTGAATGATGGCTCTGAAGTAATACGTAATTTGGTTTAGGAAATTATTTTGAACTTGATTAATGTTTTGTTGCTTTTTATAACAGAATATGAAGAGAGTGGATTGTTGGAAACAGATGAGGTCTGTAAATTGCTTTCTTTAATTTTTAATGAATAAACTTGAGGATTGGTGTTCTTAATATATCAAACAAGTCTATATATATGTACATCAGTTATAGCATATAACATTTTAACTTTGAGTTCTGTTACATCTGCTTTTAAAAAAATATATTGAGTGGGAAAACAGATTTTCTAAAATACCACACTCAGTGTGATTTTAATGATTGTAAATTTTTTACCACGATTGCCAGGCTACCCTGGATACAAGGAAAATAGTAGAAGCTTGTAAAGCTAAACCTGATGCTGGAGGTGAAGATGCTATTTTGCAAACCAGAACTTATGACCTTTACATCACTTACGATAAATACTACCAGACACCACGACTATGGTTGTTTGGCTATGATGAGGTAAACTTATTTTCATGTAAATGTTTTAAATCATTAGGTTTCATCCCTTTGTCATTAGGTCCATAGTATGTATTTTGGCCGTTTAAATTTTAGAAATCATTTGTTTTGTAATTTTATGATTAATGTTGACTTTGATTCTTATTTTGAAGAAACTGTCAATTATTCAGTGTGACAACAACACTACCAAGAATTAAACAACCTGTTACATGTTTATTTCTTGGTCGCTAAGCTTATACCTTCAAAATTTGAGGGAAGCTGAAGTTGACTTGTTTTATTAAATTGTGTTTGGGATTATATCTATTGGATGTTTGGATTTTTATAGGCATTTACAGAATGATCATGTTGCATGTAATTTTTTTTCCCCTTAATACAGAAACCTTTTTTTACCCATTCACATAATTGAATTAAAGGATAACTAAAATAAAACTAACTTGTTTAACCTGTCAGCATTACAATGACTATAAATGGGAAATAGGAAAATAAAGCGATATAAACCTAAAAGATGTTATAAAGTTATAAAGTGTTTTGGTAGCCATGAAGCTGTCTTTTTTGTGGGATCTTTACTGCATTAGATGGTTGCTGATGTCACATGGCCTTGCTGAACAGACTCTCTCCTCCCTCCCTACTGGGTATATAATTTCCCCCCAATAATCTGGTAATTCCAAGTAGTCTAGAATTCTAAATTGCAAGTGATATGGGAGGTTTGGATAAATACAAACACTGAAGTTTAGGCCTAAAACAGTAATTTCAAAGCATTTTTTTATGGTTTCAGCAACGGCAGCCTTTAACGGTTGAGCACATGTATGAAGACATCAGTCAAGATCATGTGAAGAAAACAGTGACCATTGAAAATCACCCTCATCTTCCACCACCTCCTATGTGTTCAGTTCACCCATGCAGGTATGTATGTGTATTATTCTTCATGGATTTATTACTTGGGAGTCTGTGCAAGCATAGTGCCCTAACACAAAATTTACTTAATGAACAAAATTCTCTTTTGTCTTCTTTAGAAATGTTTTTATGCTTAAATATATAAGAAAAAAAAACTTAACAATTTGTTTAGATTCATTAAGAATGTTTTTTTTTGCTCTTTGTGTGTGTTTAGTTATAATATATATTTGTGATTTTACTACTGTTATTATAAGCTCCAAAATAGTTTGGAAGATCCTTTTTAGGTTAAAAAATACTTATCATTTAGATATAGTTTGCTCTATTATAATGCTTCTTTCTGTGAATGTGGAATATAAAGTTAACTCTGCTTTTTCTAGGTGACCCATTTATCTCCTTTTATTGGTTTTATAATTTAGGATTTCTTTGAATCAATGTTTTAACAGGGCCAAATAAGTGAAACTGAGTCTATATACATGATTTGTTTAGGATTTTCCTTAAAAGAAACAAAATACAACGTTAACATGCAAATTTCTTTCAGTTAGTTATTTCTAGTGGGTAACTTCTACAAATCACTGAGAAATTCTGGGAGCAATATTTTTCAAATGAAAACTCTGATACTCCATTGACTAATTAGATGCAACATTCTAGTTTTTAAAAATCCTTTGACACTAAAAAAAATTTTTCTTTTTACAACCCCTTTATTCCTAAACTTTATCCCATAGAAAGCCTAGTTCATTTTTCCAATTTCTGTCAAGGCTGTTAATATTGCTAAATGTCAAATGTAATTCGAGTCCTTGTTTAAGTTTAGAATAATCTAAAAGGTTTTCATTATTGAGAATTATTTTGTTGGTCCCTCTATGGTTTGAGATTTTAGAATGGCATTTATCAAACTGAGCCAGCTCTTTTTCTGAGGTATAAACTTTACTTAGTGGGGAAAAGAGATAACTAATTTAACTGGTAATGTTAATGTTAAATATTTTAATAAATAACTGTTATGTAATATAATGTAAATGTGGCGCACACACAGAGAGCTGGGGGCTTGTTAAATGAGACTGCAAGGACATTTTAGGCCTTTCCATCAACTACCTCAGATTATGTCTTTATATTCTCAGGGCTAATACATTTACTCTCATCTTCTAAGGTGACTGCCTCTGTCAGTGAAGGTTATATTCATAAAAATTGAAGTGGCTTTATTTAAGCCAGGATACGTATAAAAGTTCATTTCTTTTCTGTGATGCCGTTATGTGCCCAAGCAGTTACTTTGCTATCACTCTTTTCTCTGGCACAGGAGAGACACCAGTTGGCCACAAAAAAACTTGTGGAAAACTTCAGATAAATATCTTTCTTTATATGAAGCCAAAAAATTTTCTGAATAGAATCAGATAATTTTTACAATACACATTAGAACAAGGGAAGAAAATATAAACTTCTTGATTCTGACCAATTTGCTTCTCTTTAACTCAGTTTTGGCTTGTTCTCAGCTAAATGTTTGAACAGTCAAAATTACAGCATTAGAAATAACTGTTTTTCTTTTAACCAACTGTTACCATGTCGCTTATTTAAATTTGCTTGGTCTGATTCTTTTTTTGTTTCTCAGAGCAGACAGCCCTTGCTCTGCAATTATGCTTTGGCATGATTTTCCTTTCTCTGATTTTCTGCCCTCCCCACCCCTCTTCCGTCTGCATTATAGGAAAGCTAAGTAGTCCCATTGTGTTCATTTGTGACTACTGTAGCTTTTTAAAATTATTCCCTCCCCTAGTAAAGCTGTCTACATGACTCAACAGTCTGTCTTGTTGGGGAGTAGGGAGGAGACTATTTTACAGTATTGCTGTTATGTATTAAAATTAATTCACTGACAATAGTAAAGTAGACTTCTTCACAAACAAAAAACTTGTTTTTCCTATTTTGATCTAATAGATCTATACTAAGATGATTTGTTCTTTTGCTTTTAGGCATGCTGAGGTGATGAAGAAAATTATTGAGACTGTTGCAGAAGGAGGAGGAGAGCTTGGTGTTCATATGTATCCTTACCTGTGTATGTGATTAGTGGCAATTTGGCTTCTGAGATTTTTTCTTTCCTTTTTGGGAAATTTAGTGTAAACTTAATGGCACAATACCTATAACTTGTTTTAGTCCCTGATAGGGACTAGAAGTCTTAGTGGGAAGCTTTTATTTAGAAAGTGTTACATTGTGGTAGTTCTGGCCTTGTTTAGTTAAGCACATGTCCCTGTGTGCACCAGTTAGCTCTGCCTTGTTGCAGAGCCTCAGAGCAATATGTGCTTCTAGGTAGCAGCTTGCCAAATGCTTTTGTTTGTTGAAGAGGCAATGGCTAAAAGGCAATGGCTAAGAGTATGTGTTTACAAAACTGTTAATGCTTGATGGAAAAGAAACTCAATGGGCTTAATCTATTGATGAAAGATGGGTAACCTATGAATTTAGAGGCTAACACATGAGCGTCTTTTTCTTAAGTTTATTTCTGATTTACCATATTATCAGAAATGAACTTTCCCATGATGTAAAAGTGAAGTTGGGTTCTGTCAGTCTGAGGTCTCTCTGAAGCAGTGGATTCAGATTAAACAAGTAGGGTAATTAAAAAGTAAAGCACATGAAGTCTATTTCAGGTAGTCTTAAAATATAGTGTTTTCATTTTTCTCCAGCTAAAAGCACCCCTTCAATTATCTGGGGTTGCAAGAGGAATTAAGTAAACTACTGGATCCTGAAATACATGTACCCATAGCATGGATTCATCAAAAGCAGCCAAAGTCAATGATTTGAATTCCAAAAAGCTTGAATTAGTTTGGTGCTAGATTGCTATTAGACTTGGTGGTTAGTTGTTAGTTGTTAGTTGCCACTCGGTGTTAGTTGTAGACCGAGGAGTCACCACTGTGTCAGAACTACAGATAACCTAAGTGTTGCTAATAGAGCATATCCCTCAGAGAAACACTGGGCTGGTTTGACACTGAAACAAACCAAGAACTTCTGGTCCAAACCTGAAATCCTGTTACACATAATTTGAGCATTCATCTGTGTTGGATGCTAGCTAGAAACTTGGAAGACTATGCAATTCATAGTTGAGTCATCAATTCCTCCAATAAAAAATAAGCTCTTAATGTTTCCAAGTGCAGTGGAGCATAGAAAAAAATTCAGAATTTTATTAAAGACAGTGCAGTGTAGCAGATTCTATGGCAGGTACGTATACAAACCTAGACTCAGTCCTTATGTGGTTTTCACTTGATTAGTTTTTGCTCTTTTGCTTCAGTGCTTTTATATTCTTTGCCTTGTCTTATTATCTGACATACTGTAGCAAACTTAAAGGCAGTAAAAAGAACATTTTCCACTCAAATATATACAGCCTTCCCCTTATTTTTATATCAAAATACTTGAGCTCATGCTCACTAAGAAGTTTCACATGCAAATATTAAATAGAATGGGTTAGACATTCTTAAAGATATGGAGAACCTTGTGTTGAATAGACACAAACTTGCATGAGTGAATTTTTTTTAATATACTTGATTTAAGATTTTGTCTTCTTTATTTTTACCTGAGAAGTTATTGCTTGATAAAATGGATAATTACAATGTTAGCTTAAATCATAGAACTATTTACCAATTTATTTTCCTTATCTAAACACATTTAGGTATCTTCTAATTTTCTTGAAATTTGTACAAGCTGTCATTCCAACAATAGAATATGACTACACAAGACACTTCACAATGTAACGAAGAGAGCATAGAATCTATCCTAATTCTGTTCTTATTTTTGAAGAATTAACCCATAGATGTGACCATTGACCATATTCACCAATATGTACAATTTATCTAATAAAGGGACTTACATGTTTATGCATTAAATAAAAAAGTTCCACTACCAGCCTTACTAGATTAATAAAAATGAGTGTAAAAATACCATTTTTTTGCTTTTTATCAAAAGGTGATGTTAGTATTTTCCTTAAATAATAATTCTTTACGTACAGAAGTGTCTCATACAGAATGATGATAAGAGTATTTTTGGTTCACATATAGGTATTTAAATGTGTGATAGTGTGAGAACTGGGACTAGGAATACTGCATGCTAGACTCACCTTCACTTCTTTCTCTTCCTCTTTGTTCCTTTTTTTCCCTGTCTCTGTCTCTCTAAGTCTCCTATCTGCTAATCATTAATACTGATGAAGTGCTTACTGTGTGCCAGGAAGTCTGTAAAGTGCTGTTATTTATTTTGTTTCTGGATTGTTTTGTTAGGTTGATACCATCGAAGTTATTTTTAATTAAGGATTCGGGGATATTTTCTCCTGTGGTGATTGCCTGGTAGAATATTAGAATTTGAAGGTATCCCTTTGTTGTGTCACATCACTTTACAGATCTGGGTCTGGGAGTTCAGAACGGTTCTGTGTGTTCTTAGGGACATGCACTGAGAGCGAAGGGGTAGAGCTCAGGCCCTCTGATGACTTCTTTTACTTTTTCTTTGTGCCTCCACAGTGCCCTTGTCCCTGTTCTTTCCATTCTGCGTATAAGAGGAGTGGCTAACCCTACCTGTGAGGAACCTTTGTTTATTCTTCATCATTCAAGAGTATTCTCCTTACTTCTAGTGCCTCTTTATTTCCCCCCTTTCCATTTGTAGCCCAATTTTTGTGTTTTAAGAAAATCTCTGTAATGAAAATAACAGGTTGGTACAGTGGTGTGGTGTTTGATATGGTATAATGTGAAATTATAAACAGGGGTGTCATCTTCTCATATACTTCAGATTTCCTGCTTGTCTTGTAGCCAGGAAGCTACTCTCCTTTCTAAATTTAATCTTCCAAACTGATTTTACTGAAATATCCTACTTCTGAATATGTTTTGTTTAAATGATACTAATATTTGATATTATCACATCGTCAACATTTTCCTTCCAGTTAAGCTTCTTAAATCAGCAGTCATATTTATCTCAGTCACCACTAGGTGGCATAAATGATTTTGTTGGTCAAACCTTTTTATTCTCAGATCTTTTCCAATTGAAAATTTTATATGGATCTCCAACACCTAAAACAAATGTGGATATATTAATGGTATAAATATGTTTTTATGAGTTTACATTTCTAGCACTCATTGAGAAAATTGAACTGGTTTGGTGAACAGTGAAGTTGTTTTGATGAACTTAGAATTGGAATTCCATTTGCAGCAACGTCGATGGACCTGGAGATTGTCATTCTAGGTGAAGTAAGCCAGAAAGAGAAAGAAAAATGCTATATGGTATCACTCATATATGGAATCTAAGGAAGAAAAAGACACAAGTGAACTTATTTACAAAATGGAAATAAACTCAGATATATAAAATAAACTTATGGTTACTGGAAGAAAGGGGGTGGAAAAGGATAAATTGGGAGTTTGAGATTTGCAGATACTAACTATATATAAAATAGGTAAACAACAAGCTCCTACTGTATAGCACTGGGAACTATTCAATACCTTGCTGTAAACTATAATGAAGAAGCATATGAAAGTGAATACATGTATGCTCATGTATAACAAGCATTATGCTGTACACCAAAATTGACACAACATTGTAAACTGACTATATTTCAATTAAAAAAAGAAAGAATTGGAATTCAGATTATAGATGACAATTTTAAAAGCCTGGCATCCAGTTTATATTTTATATTTGTTTCATGGCATTTTTAAATGTCTTATTTGCATAAGTAGTAGAAAGTGGTAATACATTTTTTTCTAACTTTTTATTTTGAAATAATTTTAGATATACAGAAGAATTGTAAGTACTGTACATCTTTCACTTGGCTTCCTCTAATGTTAATATCCTATGTAAACATGATACATCTATCAAAACGAAGAAACAATTAACATTGATAAAATACCATTAACTATAGTTTTTTTTTTTTGCTGTTTGTGCATTTTATTTTTTTCTTGCCTCTTTATTTTTTATTTTTATTATTTTTTATTTATTTGTCTTTATTGAGTTATAGTCAGTTTACAATGTGTCAATTTCTGGTGTATAGCTTGATTTTTCAGTCATACATGAATATACATATATTCATTTTCATACTCTTCTTCACCGTGAGCTACAAGATCTTGTATATATTTCCCTGTGCTATACAGTATAATCTTGTTTATCTATTCTATATATACCTGTCAGTGTCTACAAATCTCGAACTCCCAGTCTGTCCCTTCCCACCCCTCTCCGCCCCCCAGCAACCACGTTTGTGTTCTATGTCTATGAATCTTTTTCTGTTTTATATTTAAGTTCATTTGTCTTTTTTATTTTTTGAGATTCCACATATGAGTGATCTTATATGGTATTTTTCTTTTCTTTCTGGCTTACTTCACTTAGAATGACTTTCTCCAGGGATATCCATGTTGCTGCAAATGGCATTATGTTGTTACTTTTGTGGGTGAATAGTATTCCATTGTATTAATATACTACAACTTCTTTATCCAGTTACCTGTTGATGGACATTTAGGTTGTTTCCATGTCTTGGCTATTGTAAATAGTGCTGCTATGATCATTCGGGTGCTGGTATTTTTTTCAATATATCCTTCTGGATATTATGCCCAGGAGTGGGATTGCTGGGTCATACGATAAGTCTGTTTTTAGTATTTTGAGGAATCTCCATACTGTTTTCCACAATCTTGCCTCTTTTTTTAAAATTGAAATATAGTTGATTTACAATATTGTATTAGTTTCAGGTGTTTAGCATAGTGAATCACAGTTTCTAAAGATTATGTTCCATTTATAGTTATTTAAAATATAGTCTATATTCTCTGTGCTGTACAATATACCTTGTAGCTTATTTATTTTGTGTATAGTAGTTTGTACCTCTTAATCCTATACCTCTGTCTTGTCCCTCCCCACTTCCCTCACCTCACTGGTAACCACAGATTATTTTCTGTATCTCTGAATCTGTTTCTATTTTGTTATATTGTTTTATTTTTTAGGTTCCATGTGTAAGTGATAACAGAGTATTTGTCTTTCTCTGTCTGACTTACTTCACTAAGCATAATATCCTTCAGGTCCATCTATGTTGTAAATGGCAAAATTACATTCTTTTTAATTACTGAGTATTATTCCAATGTACACATATATTACATCTTCTTTATCCATTCATCTGTTGGTGGACACTTGGGTTGCTTCCATATCTTGGCTATTGTAAATAATGCTGCTGTGAACATTGAGGTGCGTGTGTCTTTTTGAATTAGTGTTTTTATTTTCTTCAGATATATACCCAGGAGTGGAATTGCTTGATCATATGGTAGTTCTATTTTTATGTTTTTTGAGGAACCTCTATACTGTTTTCCACAGTGACTGCACCAATGTACATTCTCACCAACAGTGTACAAGGGTTCCCTTTCCTCCACATCCTTGCTAACATTTGTTATTTGTGTTCTTTTTGATGAAGGTCGTTCTGAGAGATGTGGGTTGATATTCATTGTGTATTTGATTTGCATTTCTCTGATGACTAGCAGTGTTGAGCATCTTTTCATGTGCCTGTTGGCCGTCTGTATGTCTGTAAATATGTCTATGCAGGTCTTATGCCCATTTTTTAATCAGGTCTGTTTTTTGGTATTGAGTTATATGAGCTGTTTATATATTTTGGATATTAACCCCTTATTGGTCTGATCATTTGTGAATATTTTCTCCTATTCAGTAGTTTTTTTTTTTCACTTTGTAGATAGTTTCCTTTGCTGTGCAAAAGCTTTCAAGTTTAATTAGGTTCCGTTTATTTCTTTTTGTTTCCTTTACTTGAGGAGACAGAGCCAAAAAATAATACTACAATTTATATCAAAGAGTGTTCTGCCTATGTTTTTGTTTCTAGGAGTTATATGGTTTCTGGTCTTATATTTAGGTCTTCATATACTGATCTTATGATTCCACAATGTTGCTAAATTCATTTTTAATCTGGTAGTTTATTATAGATCCTTTTAGATTTTCTCTATAGATAATCATATCATCTGCAAATATAGACAGTTTTTCTTTCTTTCCAATCTATCTATGTGTCTTACAGTTTTCTTGTATCATTAAACTGGATAGGACTTCAAGTACAGTGTTGAGTAGGAGTGATGAGAGCGGACCTCCTTGCCTGTTCCTGATCTTTGGATCAGTTTCTCACCATTAAGTAGGCTGTTAGCTGTAGCTTTTTGTACATGTTCTTTATCAGGTCAAGGAAGCTCTGTTATATTCCTAGTTTGCTAAGAGTCTATCATAAATGTTGGATTTTGTCAAATTTGTTATATCTGTTTAAACAATCATGGTTTTTAAAAATTCTGTTAATATGAATTACATTGGTTATTGAGACAGCCTTGCATTCCACAGGTGAGACACATATTATTTTCATGTATTGCTAGAATCACTTTGCTAAAATTTTATTGATGAGTTTTATATCTGTGTTTATGAGGGATATTGGCAGTGGTTTTCTTCTGTAGTCTTTGTCTGATTTTGATTTTACAATAGTGATAGCCTCAGTATGAGTTGGGATGTGTTTGCTTCTCTTATGTTTTCTTGACAATATTACGTAGAATTAGAATTTGCCAGTGACACTATCTGAGCCTTGAGGTTTTGGGGAAAGTTTTAAATAGATTCAATTTCTGTATTATATATAGGACTGTTTTTTCTAGGGTTGGACAATTTGTGTATTTTTGAAGGAATTTTGTCCTGTAGTAGAAATAGAGAGGAAAGATCCTGATGGCGTCCTGCCTCCTGTCTGGCTGCTGTTTCCCCGCCCCAGGTCTGCACCACAGCGGTCACTTCTTGGGGCTCTTTCTGTGAGTGCCAGGTAGAGTTCATGGGGCGGCAGCATGTGAGAGGATGCCAGCCAGTGTCTTCAGCCCCACCGATTTCACACTCTTCCATTCTGCAGTCTGTCTGCACCTGTTTGCCAGCTGTTCCAGCTGCACTAGCTGCGGTGGGCTTTTGTCACCTC